GAATCCTAACATTTCATGGTTATCCCAGGTTCTCATACTGTCTTTGACAGTATAATGTTTATATTTAGCTTTTGCCTGTCAAATGTTACTCAAGCACTCTATGCACATGACTTTTATGTTTTCTGTTAAATTTTCTTAATTAGCCATTTTCTTGCATAGCTTTTCATGTCCATTTGAAACAATCTTCATAACCATTAGTTTGAACCTACATTGATATTGAAGTGATTTGGTTTATTTATTTTTTTTGTTCTAGTCCATTTGTCAGGTAAACACATCTCTAAAGTGCTTTGCCAAATGAATTATAAGTTGAGTCAACTTCCTGAATATATGAAATACTTAGAACAAAACTATTTCAGACATTATGTGCAACAGCAGAACTGGCCCGCAGGCTGCAGGGCAGCTCAGAGTTGTTCAGTTGTATTTACAGAACCATTCTTCTCGTACATTGTTCTAATGTATAAGACAGTTTGATAATTTGTTGTGTCAAATTTGAAGCATTTTTATTTTGATGACTTAAAAAGGTTGAACTTCAGACAGTTTTAGGCCTGAGTTTGTTTCTAAAGTTCTCACAAAGTTTGATTTCTTTGCTCTGTCTCTTTCTCAATTTTTTTTTTTTGGCCAATTGATAGATAATTAATTTGGAAGACTCCTTTTAACAGCCAGAATAAAATCATTGTGTGTGTTTACTAGGTTTTTTTTCACACAGTAATGTTTAGTCTTTATTTTTATAGGGCTACTTCTGATAAAGCAAATAAGCTGGAGTCCATGGTTGAGGTATATCGTCAGAAGCTACAAGATCTGAATGACCTTCGCAAGCAAGTGAAAACATTGCAGGAAACAAACATGATGTACATGCATAATACTGTCAGCTTAGAAGAAGAATTAAAGAAGGCAAACGCGGCACGTACCCAGTTAGAAACGTACAAGAGACAGGTACGATGTCTTAAATTTTTTAGTCAATAGGATTGAAAGAGTTCCACTTTGTTATTCCATTTGATACCTTAATAATGATGAGGTGAAAAAATATTGCCTGTGAGCAGCTGTGAACTTATTACTGTCATACATTTCTTCCATCTGTGATTTTAGTTCAGGGCTTGATAACTGAGTTTGAGTTATCTAGGTCTTTTACATTTTTACTGGCTTCTGAGCTTGTGTATTTTTTTGGACATTTTATTGTTTATAGGCATTTCTGGTAACCAGTGATAAATGCCTAAGGAATGGAGTTATAATCTAAAATATTCTATTTTGCTATTTCTCAAACAACCTAGAGAAACAGAGTAGAAGGCTGATTTTATTTCTGGCTAAATTATTATTTGGGTATTTTAAAATTTATGTTAATTCTTATATACATTCTATTTCCCCAAATTTTTAGAATTAGACTATAATCTTACTATAAATTTTATTTTCAATAAGTTTCTCATTTATTGAGCTCTGAAAAACTATCAATAGTATATATACTCTTACTTTTTCCTTTCATTTCTGACAAAAGGTTCAGGATCTTCATGTTAAACTTTCCTCTGAATCCAAAAGAGCAGACACATTAGCATTTGAAATGAAGCGGCTTGAAGAAAAACATGAAGCTTTACTTAAGGAAAAAGAGGTAAATGTAAATATAATTGATACATAACATGTCTGTCTTGTTTTAGTTTATTTTTAATACTATCCTTGCTGTTCTAAGAATGGAAGTGTATAACCAGTTCTTTTTCTATCTTTCTCCAAATTGAAATTGTTGATGTAAGAGAAAGTCTTGTAAAAATTCTTTATGCAGTTTTGTAAATTTCCTTCACAAAGGAAGCTGAAGTCACAGAGCCAAGGTTATATGTCTCAGTGCATGCTTTCCAACTCTACGCTGTCAACTCCATGAGAGCAAGGACCATAGATTCAGTTTTTTAGCAGCTTTGTTAAGGCATAATTTATATACCATAAATTTCACCCATTTAAAATACATAGTGCAGTAGTGTTTAGTGTATTCACAGAGTTGTGCAATCAGATGATCACAGTCAAATTTTAGAGCACTGTCATTACTCCAGAAAGGGACCCCATGCCCTTTAGCAGTTGCTCTGCAGGCTCGTCCCCCTGCCTGCGGACTGAGCAGCCATTCATTTACTTCCTCTCTCTCTAGATTTGCCTAGTTCTGTCCACAGTATGTAACCATACACTTTGTAGTTTTTGTGACTGGATTCCTTCATTTCGTGTAATGCTTTCAAGGTTCATCCATGCTGGAGCCTGTATCAGTATTTCACTCATTTTTATTGCTGAATAATACTCCATTGTATGAATATACTGTATTTTATTTATCTGTGCATCAGTTTATGGGCATTTGGGTTGTTTCCACTTTTTGCCTACTAAATGAGTAATGTGGCTATGAACACTTAATGTACAGGTTTTTATATGGGCATATGTTTTCATTCCTTGAGTATCTATACCTAGGAATGGTATTGCTGGGCCATAGGTAACTATGTTTAACCTTTTTAAGAACCACCAGACTGTTCTAAAGTGGATGGACCATTTTTCATTCTCCCCAGCAACTTGTGAAGATTTCAATTTCTCCACATCCTTGCCAATACTTACTACTTTTAATTTTGGCTATCTTAGTGGGTATGAAGTGGTATATCATTATGGTTTTGATTTGTATTTCCCTAATGACGAATGATGTTGAACATCTTTTCATGTATTGACCATTTTTATATCTTTGACAAATGTCTCTTCAAATTCTTCACCCATGTTTTATTTAGATGATTTGCTTTTTTATTTTCAAGTTGTAAGAGTTCTTTATGTATTCTGGATACAAGTCCCTTGTGAGATATATGATTTGCAGATATTGTCTCCCATTCTATAGGTTGTCTTTTCACTTTCTTGATGGTATTTTTTGTTGTTGAAGTATAGTTGATTTACAATGTTGTATTAGTGTCTGATGTGCAGTATAATGATTCAGTTATGCATATATATTCTTTTTCATTATAGGGTATTATAAGTTATTGAATTATAGTTTGCTATACAGTAGGACCTTGTTTATTCTGTATATAATAGTGTGTATCTGCTAATCCCAAACTCCCTACCCACTCCTTTCCCCTTTGGTAATTAATTGTATGGTGTGAAATAGGCTTCTGACTTCATTCTTTCGAGTGTGGATATTCAGTTGTCCCGGCACCACTTGTTGACAGAACTGTTCTTTCCCCCATTGAATTGTCTTGGTGCGCTTGT